CTCTTCCGACGTGTTGCAGCAGCTCTACCTGGAATGGAAAGCACACAGGACAGAAGCAGAGAAGACAGTATCCTTTTTGTTTCATCAGGAAATTTTATTGTTACTACAAGTCTTTAGAGCCCCACTTGGTTGGCTTAGGAATATTATGCCATTGCCTTTTACAGCCAAGAATTGATGGTTTAGGAGCAAAAAGTTTTTCTATAACGAATGAGATCTGGTTATCCAGTTGCATTCTTTGCAGGCTGCTGTTCACTACGATTAATCATTGAGAAGGTTTGTGTTTGTTTGCTTGCTTGATTTTTAATGAGCAGGAAACTCTTAACATCCCACCCTCCTGCTTCTTAATTTTGACATCCCTTGGCTCTGGGCTTTTTCCCCACAATATATATCATATTTCCTTCCCCTGCTTTTTCTATCATTTGAACTGTCTACTTGGCATAGGCAGGAGATAACTAAGTTTGGAGCTTTATCGTGGCCTCTTCTTTCAGAAATGGGACAGAATGAAGCACATGTAATATTAGTTATTTAAAAGAATTTTGAATTTTGATATTTTCCTTGTTTGTCTCATATTTACCTTCTAGTGTTTTTCCATATGCAGACAGTTTTATTAAGCCATAGAATTCATAGCACTTTGTATTCAGCTCTTCCCACTTCTGAATGTTTTATGTTTTCTAAGCCTTTATTTTAGCAGCATAATGTGTTCTATAGAGTTGAAGCCCCATTATTTATTAAATTCTCTCCCTGTTGTGGAACTCTCTTATAGGCTATTTTCAGATTTTTATTATAGATAATTTTTTAAGGAACATCATCTTTATATGATTTTTTACTCCTGTAGAATAATTTCCTTAGGATAGATTTCCATGAGTAGGAATTAACCTTATTCTGAACCTTGTGGCATATAGGAGATATAAGCAAGTTTATTCCATATGAGCACCTTATATGGTGAGCGAGCTATATAGAAAATACTGGCTGAGTGGTCTCTGAAGCCAAATAGGAATGGAAGGGGGTCTTAGCAGAATTGTCGATGTTCAGCAGAATTGGAATTGTACTTTCCCATTTATAGTTCCTTAGCTTTTGTTTCAGTGATTGACATAAAACTGGAAAAGCCTCAGGAGCAACCAGTCAGCGAAGGAGGCTGTTCCTGCTAATCCCCCATGGCATCTTCAACTTTCCTCCAGAAGCTCACTGCTTTGGCCCCCTTACTCTTTCATTGACTGCAGTGTGAATATTGGCTTGAACCTTTTCCCTTCAGTAATAACGTATTGCAATTCAGCATTGCTGCCTGTCTCTTGGAGATGATCTATTAGCTTCACAAGCACAAAAAAGTCAGTGTCTTCATTATTTATATTTTACAAAAAGCCAAACAATTCCAGCATATTCCAGTGGTAACTTTAAAAATTAGATACATTTTCTTAACATTTTTGTTTCCTTTTTAATGTTATGAGAATGTACTTCAAAATGATGGAAATCTCAACAGTATGTGGCTTGGTTAAGGAGCAGTTGTTCACAGCAGCACTTGCCTACCTACTTGATCTCTCCCTGCTTTACTTGCTTGTTCTTTACCCCATTTCCTATTCCAGTCCTTCCTCCGTCAAAACAAACAAGAGGGGGCAAAGCAGTAGTCAGACCAAGCCCATTGGAATTATCCTTCAGTTTTAGCAATACCACTTGCTCTCAAGATATCCAAAATTATTCTTAAACACTGACATAAATTACTTAGACCTTAATTGAGGTCAAAACTCAGCTATCATGGTAGGCAGTGCTGGAATAAGGAAAGCGTTCTGGTGTGTCTTCAGAATGAGTCCTAATGAACATACTGAGTACTTAGAAGTAAATGAACATAAAATATATTTCTGACCAAAACAAATGATTCTTTCACATGTTAGACTCCGGGAGAGAAAAGTAAAAGTGCTTCAGAACAGGTTTTAAATATTTAATTCTTCTAAGAGCTATTTCTTCCAGGATTTTAAATTTGTCAAAATCGAGTTCTTCTGTTTGTTTAAAAAACAAAACTAAACATTTTTAGGCAATAGATTTCTCTTGAGTTTTCTTTTTCTTTCTTCCTTTCTTTCTTTCCTTCTTTCTTCCTTCCTTTCTTCCTTGTTTTTGAAATGCTGTGCAGGCAAGGCACTGTAGAAATCAAATTCCTTTAAGAAGAACCAGTGGAAGAATTTAAATTTGGCACTTTGATTGAAACTACTGTAACCAGTAGAAACAATGATACCTAAAGCTTACCAACAAAAGAATCCTCAAGAGAATAGCAAATACTTTGCCCAGGACAATTGAGGTCAAATTGAAAGTGGAAACAGTTTTCTTATAAGCCCTAGAGGCAGATCTGAAAAAGCATACATAGAAGAGGGAAAGAAGAGAATGAAAATAAAACTTAATATTATGCAGATTTATGCCTTATTTTTCAGCGTTTTTTTATGTTCTCTCAATCCAGTTTTGCTTTTTATTAGATCTGTATAGTTTGCTTAATTAACTAGTGATTTAATTTTATATTTAAGCTACAATTAATCTTTTTTCTTTGGTGATATTTATTTCTTTGCCTTTTTTAAAACTACTTTCAATGTTTAGATGTTTTATTCAGTCTATTTAGAGCTTCATAACAATGGCAATATGTATTTCCCTTAAAACACTGCAAACAAATATACTAGGAGTGCACCATTTTAATCTTTACTAGTTATTGTGAGATTGCTGTGTAAGTTAATAAATACATTTGTAAATACATTGTTTGCAAGAAGAAAATTTCTGAGTTACAGCTCAGGAAAAGCCTGCTGAATTTATGTTGTAAGCATTACTTAACACAGTATAAGGATGAAAAGACAACAAAAATATCTTCATACTTCCTCATCCCCTCATTGCAACAAAACCCTTAACTGGGAGAACCTTATTCCTTCCCCTCTTCCTCCTCCACTTCCCACTTATTGTCCAACCTTATAATATTCAGAGAGCACTTGGATTATGGGTCTGAATAGAGAAATGCTTTCAGATAATCATTAGCCCACATACCCCAGTAACTTGTACTCAGACGGGATGGAGTTGTAAAGTGCTTTTATAATACAATATTATTGTTAAAGGCAAGGGTTGACTCTTTTGTTTTATTTTGACATGGCATGTCCTGAAATAAATATCAATTCAATATGGCGATGGGTCATATTCTTTATTTGGAAGAAGTTGTGATTTCTGACATGGGGGTGATTGTGTTCCTACACTGTAGCATTTGATTCTTTTTAATGTATACTTAAGGCAGTAACCAGTTAATGCTGCTTTTAATATTGGTCTTTTTATTTAGCTGGGGTTCTTCAACCGAAGCAGTGAAGTGTGTTCATAGTGCACTTCTTTTTTTAATAAACACAGTTTTGCTGCCCAAAGAATGTATAAATAAACACAAAAGAAAACATTTATTGACTTTGTTTCCCATTCCTGCCAAAGTGCTGAATTACCATGTGCTACTTCCTCCCTAGGACTATAAAGGGAATGTGCAATCCAGAAAAATAGCAAAACAACAACAAAACTGAGAAACCCTTGGGAAGTCACAAGACTCTTTTCAACTGTTGAGGGTGAGGGAAAGTGGCTGCAACTTGAAAGATAGGGCCTGGCTTTCCTGGTGGCGCAGTGGTTGAGAATCCGCCTGCCGATGCAGGGGACATGGGTTCGTGCCCCGGTCCGGGAAGATCCCACTTGCTGCGGAGTGTTTGGGACCGTGAGCCATGGCCGCTGAGCCTGCACGTCCGGAGCCTGTGCTCCGCAACGGGAGAGGTCACAACAGTAAAAAAAAGATAGGGCCACTGGTGGAGGCAGTAATAGGATGTGTTAAGAAAAGCAGTTTAAGTTCTGCTTATGCATCCTCACTCCTAACTCCACCTTTGCCTTTGGACAGGGGTGGCAAACTGCCCTCGCACCAAATCCAGCCTGCTACCTGTTCTTAAATTAAGTTCTTTTAGACCTCAGCCATACTTTATCACTGCAAAGATGGAGTTGAGTAGTGGAAACAGGCTTTAGGGTAAACCACAGCTCTCCCCGGTACTATAGAAATGGAGGCCACAGCCCAGACTACAGGCTCAGGTATCCACAGCGGTAATGTCAGGGCAGTATAAAATCCCTGAGAGGGGATTTCCTGGTGGCTTAGTGATTAGGATTCCGTGCTTTCACTGCCTTTGCCCCAAGTTCAATCCCTGGTTGGGGAACTGAGATCCTGCAAGCCGCGCAGCACAGAAAAAATATAAAAAATCCCTGAGAAGTGAGGAGTTGATGAAACTAGGTGGGGAATAACCTGCCTGCCTTAGGCCTTTTACTCACTCTTTACCCTTTCAAAGCATCAGTTAGTGGACTGTGATCTAGGGGGACTGCCTCCTGCAAGAGCTGCTTCTTCCTAAACTGGGTTTAAAGGTAAGGCCCTGAAATAAAGTTTGGTGAGATGATACTGAATGGGAACAATACATGTGGTCTTGTGGTACCTAGAACTCTGTCCCAAGGTTTGTCCTTTCCCCATCTTAAAACTTGACATTCTGGTCTTTGACCCTTGCCCAGTATACCATCCCAGAGTTATAACCCATACCCCAGGAGAATTTGGACTCATAAGTCAGAGCAGTTGGATACCTGAAAACTGCCTCAAAAGAAAAAGTGAATACCATTTGAAGCAGAACTACTTGAAAAGACAGCCAATAATTTAAAGATGGCATGATAAATATTGAAGAGGTAAAATACTACCAGTATGGAACAAGAATCATAAAGTAATCAAATATATTAAGTGAAAAATATAATAGTTGAAATAAAAAACAGGTTAAGTAGTAGACTGGATTCTATTCATTGAGTTAGTGAGAACGTTCAATTGAACTCTTTCATTAGAAAACAAAGAAACAGAAAAATAAAGATTAGGAGGAGAATAGTATATATAGCAACATTCAGAAGTTCCAGGGAGATGAAAATCAGGAAAATTAAAGTACTGAAAACAAAGGATTTTGAAGATAGTATTTGTGACAGGCATCTGTGTATCTTCTGAATGCAGTTTCTGAAATGGTATCTGCCTCCTGGTACTCATACATTTGCATTATCCTTTCCCCTTGAACATAGGCTGCACCTGGTGACTTTCATCTAAGAAATAGGACACAGCAAAAGTTACATCACTTTGAAGGTTAGATTATGAAAGACTGTGGCTTTTGTCTTGTTCACACAATCTGACTCATTTGCTTTTATGCAGCAATCTGCCACATTTGAGCTGCCTGGAGAGAGGCCCAGCAGCAAGGAACTGAGGGCAGCCTCCAGCCAATGAGGAACTGAGTTTCTTCTTAATAAGTCAGCCTGCAAAGAACTGAACAAAAAACAAGCCACAGACAAAATATTTGTAGATTGCATGCTTGATAAAGGACAAGCATTCAGAATATATGAAGAACTCTCATAACTTGATAGAAAAGACATAGAAATTGCTTGATATCATTAGTCATTATAGAAATGCAAATTAAAACCACAATGAAATACTACTACATACATATCAGAAAGGCTAAAATTTAAAAGATTGGCCGTACGAAGTTTAAAGATGAGGAGCAACTAGGAATTCTCATACACAGCTACCTGAGATTTTGGAAAAACAGTTTGGAAGTTTCTTTAAAAGTTAAATATACATTTATATATAGTAGCCATTCCACACCTAAGTATTTACCCACAAGAAATGAAAGCATGTGTCTATACAAAGACTTGCACACAAATGTTCATAGCAGTTTTACTTGTATTAGCCAAGAACTTGAAATAACCCAAATGTCCATCAGAAGGTGACTGTGTAAACAAATCATGGTACATGCTTACTGTGGAATAGTATGCCATAAATCAGAATGAACTGTTGATACCAACAACATAGCTGAATATCAGAAAATTATCCTTCGTGAAAAAAGTTGGACAAAAAAAGTAAAGTATATATGTTTTCATTTATATAAAATTCTAAGAAATGCAAACTAAACAATAACCCTCCTTTTCTCCCTTTCTCCAGTCCCTGGTAACCTCTATTCTGCTATCCGTCTCTATGAATTTGCCTATTCTAGGTACCACATATAACTGGAGTCATACAATATTTGTCCTTTTGTGTCTGACTTCCTTCACTCAGCATGATGTTTTCAGTGTTCATCCATGTTGTAACATGTATCAGATTTGA